AAAGCAGCAAAAATTTACATCATTCGTGCAACATAATTTGATAGAAATTATTTATCAGTTTGATAAACGTAATCATGATAAAATTTGGCATAATATATATAATGAAGTCCTTCCCAGGTACCGGCGTTGAATTGGACCATTGTATGATGTTTTAAATTCGTGACTGTCTGCCATCTTCCAATCGCTTTACGCACATATTAGATCGGGGAACTATTTGAGGAAGTAAAATCTCGCACGACCCGCTGCTAAGAGATCGGCAAAGACTATGTCGATCGCAACGAAAAATTTATGAGGCATTTCATGCTTCATGACACAGTTCTTTACTTTGAGTTCATTTAGTCCTTTTTCAATTAATTGTATGCTTAGGCAACCCGCGTAGCGCAAATTTGTAGTGAATGGATCCTTGTATTCGATCAAATACTTTTGTATTACGAATATCTATCTATTTTTTTAGGATTGATGACCATGTTGCTTATTATGAGTCTTCTCATTAAGAGTAATTTTGTCCATCAACAAGCAGGTTTAACCGTTTGACTTTACTTAACATTTTGGCCGAACGAACATTGTCCACTTACTTTTGCCACTGCGCATATCCCGCAATAAACGTTTAGGTATCATATCAAAAATGAGATGTCGTAAAAGTTAAGCTGGGGGAGCTATCGGTTGAAGTGTGCAAGCCTACACTTGATCATCCCTAAGCGAGACAACTTAAGATCTATCTTTATGGAAACCAGGGAACGCATTATATCCGGTTGATGGAAACTTATTCTCGGGGCATTCAAAGTTTGTCAATTTCATAAGTAAGTTTAGGGACCAATCTCCTTAACGTCTTATAGCCGGTATATCGCTACTGCAGCCAGTTTCTCTACGGTAGACTCTCCAGTCGATCGAGGATGCCAAGTCGCCGCTTTATCCAACTTTTCACACTTAGATGATGCCCGATAGAAATTCCTCCATGTCTCATCGCATTCGACTTATTCGAAGAATGGACTTTCGGCGCTGCTTGTGTATCAGTACAGGGTCTAGGAGATTGCTCCACCGTGTGGTGATCGACTATACTGAGAGTTTGCGCAGTCGTGATATCAACCGTCCCCAAATGGGGCCATCAAAACCACTCGCAGAACACAAAAATGTTTCCATCGCTCCGATACGGATGTCATATTTTCATCCATGGGATAAGCGGCATGTTTTTCGATTTGCTGCTACCAGCTGACTTAAGACTAGTACAATCTAAATCATTGTGTCCCACAAATTAAACTTACCTTGAGATCGAGACGAGTACGACAAAAACCACTACTACTGCATATGTCTTTTGTGCGTGAATATTTTTCAGGCTCAAATTTGATCAGTTATACAAAATTCTTGTAGCAAGGCAAATATATACCTCGTCGGAGGTGTCTCTTGCATAGCGAACTTCAGTCTGCATCAATTTAGTCTGGCATTGGATTAATCTGTCCGTATTCTCTCGATTGTCTAGAGATCGATGTGACTAATGACTTTCCATTTTGATTTTCTGAGTGATGAGAGATAATCGTCAACTTATCAAAATCTTAAGCGCAGTGTGACTGAAAGTTGAGCCCAACCTATGTCAAGATATCTTTTGATTTGCTTGACGCTGATTAGTCAGTGGGGCGATCGATCCCAACTAATTCTGACCGTTTCTTCGACTATTCGACACGTGCACAAAGGAACTGACGCCGTACCTAAACGCTTGCTCTTTTCGGTAAACGGTTGATCGGTCTGCTGTAACGCTTGGACTGAGCTAGAGGCACCACACATATAAGCGTAGTGATCTAGCTCCCCGACAGCAATTTCGCGCAAGTGAAGAACTATGACTAGCAAAGCGAGGTTTTACTTCATTTCACCAAACAGGACCTTTGGCTATGTACATCCTTTTCCTTTCGTCGAGAAATACGATGTGATGGCTTATTCAGGACAAAATATACTTAATGTGCCACAGTATTTGCTTGAAGAAGCGTCTCCATTTGCTGGTCAGAACAGGCATGTCCTGACTGGACCATCTGTAAGATCATTGAGGGCACATGGCTTTGTTTTTGTTTATCAATCGTCTTGCGCACGGTACATATTACAATATATCATCTGTGCTGAGCATAAGCAAGCGAATCATACTAATACTTATTCAGGTAGTGCGCGAATCCTTGAATTATAAATAGGTCGATCGACGACTGACACATTGTATACGCTACACCATGGAACTTTCGTACGACCCAGATACATCAGAGTCGTAAAGATTGACCCAGAAGACCCGTCTTTGACACGGCTGATCAGTTCAATATGTAAAACTCTGCCTTCATCTCATCATATGCGATGCGACGGGTTTCAAAGGCGATGTATAGCTTGAAGAACTATCTTATTAAGTAGTCTCCTAAGGCTGCTTTGAAATTGGGGATGTCAATAAAAAACTTCGGGTATACACCTGTCGGCCATCCAGTTGTGTTAAATATTTGCTGATCTCTCGACAGCTCAAGCTTTTGATCAGTCCGATATATTGAAAGTGGCTGGGTAAATATCTGCGGGTTAGCAAGATTACTTTCCCTATCGCCGCATCAGGTAAATGTCAATGCATTTGGTGATCACGGCAGTTACTTATCCCCTGTGAGACATACAAGGTGTCACTGATTGCTGGTTCAACGACGGTCGAGCTTATCGCTTCGACATCACTCACATGATATAACTTTACGCATGACGTGAAGCTTATCCGGACCACGATGTTAATGGTACACGGGTCCGTGATTGTTAGACGGACCGCCAAGTGCTACAAGGGGTGTCGAGGCACCTGCACTTACAATGCAAACTGTTTGAGAAATCAGAACGGATGAGTTTAGGCAGAAGTCGCGGAGTTTCATGTACACATGTGTTGAGGAAGCCAGCACATTTAAATGGAGACTGTGAAAGAGTAGATTTGTATCCAGTGAACTGCTAAGACCGCTTGGTACATACCGTATATTCTCACTATGAATGATATATGTACAAATACGAGTTTTCGCCTGCTCTCCACATATTGCGCGCGTCCAGCGTACATTCGACGCTTTGTTGATGGATACAATGTTCCATATCAGCGAATCATGTAAATGGGTACAGTGTAACGGGGCACGCCCTTGTGTCGGATCAACACAAGGTAGAGTGCGCCCGACGTCACGTACACGTGGCGTGAGGAAGCGCGACCAAGGCAGAATAGAACCCGAAAGCTCTGTCTCGAGGGAAAAGTAGAACTGTTATTTAATATAGTTATGTTTCTTGCCAAATCATCTTTCGTCCTAATCTAACTATATTAAACTACATTCTCCTATGTGGGTCTTCTGTCCACCACCCATTGCGCGCGTCCAGCAGCGATTGGTGGTTAATTTGGTAGATGTACCGTGTACATCAACCAAGAAGTGGACCCCTCCACGGATATTACCCTTAGAGATAATATTCCGACAACATCACTTTTCCCGAGTGATGTTGATCGAATATTACCAAAATCGATAATATTCAAAAATTGGTACTTTCTACCAATTTGTATGTAATGGACTCACCCCGTTACATAATGGATAGGCGAAAGGCGTCGGCATACATTCGTTCGTCCTGTAATTGCACATAAATCCGTCATTGGCGTCATCATGGCCTGCGCCATGGTGAGCACAGTACTTGGAGGCTGCAGGTGCCTGCGTATAAGCTAGTGGTCGATAATAAAGTGCGTCGGGGGAGGGGCACTCGCGACCAACCCTTGCAGCTTGCTCCTCCTTTAGCGATCAGACGCAGTTGCGTTTATCATGCTTGAGACATGTCTTGCCTGATGACCACAAGTTTGAGTGCCGCCTCAAGCCGCGGGGAAATGTGGACGCCTGTCCATGCCCAGTCACCTCACGTTTAGTCCACGTGCCTGATGCTATATTCTCATCGTCACGCATCTTGACGAGCGACGACATGACACACATTTTGAGGCTTATGTACCAGGCCGAACTTGTGCGGAGCGGCAAGTTCGGCCTGGTACATGTCGCATTATGGCTTGTCCACGGTCCTTGTGCTGGATGCGATCGACCAGACCATGAAGAAGGTATTCGAATGCCAGCTCGAGCAATTCACGACGTGGATTGGCTATTCGTCAAAGTGTCACAGCTGCATTGGCCTCACGAATTTTTGTCATGCTGCGACAAGTTCGCAATCTCAGAAGCCACCTTCGGGGCTACCGAAGCTTTGATCATTCTCGCTGACCCTACAAATTTCGTACGATCAGGCTGTCTGCTCGGACTCGAGAGGCTTGCACTGCTGTGGCGCAGAGCCGCTAGCTCTGTTTAGTACTGCCGTTGCTGGATAGCGGTGACACCCGTAGGTGGCACTTGATCAGCACATGTCCACGACACAACCCTGGCATTTCGTATTCTCGAGGGAAGCCGACTTCGCGGCATACTTGCCGTAATGATTGTTCCTTGTGGCTATCATCTTCTGACGCCCTCACGCTTAGGAGAAGCTCTAGTTGCAGCAATGTGGCTTAGCAGACTATAAGAGTAGCTGCAAGCATTTACATCGACATCATCCCCAACAAAGGACGAGTGGGGCCGCGCTTGTAATGAGTGATGATGCAACGAATCGCGGGCTGCGAGGCTGGACTCGGAGATCTTACTTATCACGCGCTCGCGATTGTCATACATTTGAACTGGTTCCAAGTGAGCAAAACAGTGGCATAACGTGCACTTATTCCACGTGGCAACCCATGTCGCGCTCTTTCCCCATTTAACGTGTCTTGGAGAAAGCGCTGTCGACGATTTGCATGGCTGGCTTGACTGCACCAAGCGTTGCCGTCTGTGCTGACTAAATCTAGGGTGTCTAAAGCTATGTGCGCTCCCGCCGTTTCACGGATCGCTATTGTGCTACATTTCAGAGGTCGCTTGAGACGCGCAAGACCTGCGACACTATGAATACTCCACCCAGCCATAGATACTAAAAGAAAACATATCGTGGTAAAATCAATGAAGGAAATGTGTCTCTGAATCTCATCACAGGAGTGCGTTCCTAACAAGCGATCGAATGCGAGTGCTGGACTTGACAAGGCCCGTATACAAACTCTCGCGTTCACTCTCAAGGACCATTTTGGCAGCGTACTCAGCCGCCATCTTACTTGAGAGCTCACCCATCTCCGCGTACCTAGAGCGACCGCCTCCACCTGCTTCCCCTAAAGCGTTCATTTGCCTCTCCAAGTCGGAAACAAATTTATCTTTCATACGGATCTGGCTCGCGGTCTTTGCCCACTTTGTATGGTAGGCTTGCTCATCGCAGGGTGAGCTTTGAGTTTGCGCGCTAAGCAAGTCTCTAAACTCGTCGCGCCGGGGCTTCCACACATGTGCAATGAGAGCCGCCACTGTAACATCACGCTTTACTTTTTCAGCGCGAATGGATGCGCGAAGTTCAGCAACTTGCCTACGAAAGTCCATGGCAGTCTCGGGGTTATATCCAACCAGAACTTGCACATGATTACTTGATTCTTCAACAGTTCTCTCGTTCAACAAGATTTGGTCATTCATGTGCTCGTACGCGTTCATAAGGCTCTGTTTGTTGGAACCAACTGCTCGCAAAACAGACAAAACTCGCTGATGATCATCGTCGATACGTTGTGAGCCACTTCCGCCACCTTCAAGGTGGGGAGGTTGGCCGCCGGATTCAGGCAACACGTTTAGCGCTGCTTTGTCTGCGCAGGCAGACAATACGCGTTCCAATGGTTGAAAAGTTGCCGTGCGTAACTCGAACAAGTGTGCTGGTTTGTTCTGAGATGCGCTCGCGACCTCGAAACCTTTGGATGGTAAACCATTTGCACTTGTTGCTGATAAAAGCGATCTTGTAGATTGACCATTAGCCGGTTCACAGCTTGTATGCGGTGTCGGAGCTGTCGTTCTGGTTGTATCATCTGTGCTAGACGATCCGGTGCATTCAGCCGCACCCAATTTCGTTTGCCGCAGCGACAGCACCTCGTCCTCAAGCTGTTGCATCCGATTCATAAGTTTCCTCGCCCACCGTCGAACACACGGTGGGCAGCTACATCCCCCTGCAAGTAGATCACCACCGTGACCCTTGTTAGAGCGATGCACGAAGCTTCCCTCCGTGCTTGACATTTTCTCTGCGGATATCGATTGCGAAGATCTAGTGGTGTTAAGCGGTGTTCGCCCGGACACGTCGGCAGGAGAATCATCCGACTTATCTTCTTGCACTGAGTTTTCCTGCATGCGTGGCTTTTTAGCATCACCGCATCGAGATTTTCCGTTTCCAGTACCTCCAAATGGTTCACCTGGAGCCTTCCTTTTGAGGTCTGACTTTGCCTTGCTTTCCTCGTTTTGATTTGAATCATCAAGTGATAGCGAACTTTCAACAGAAGTGTGTTCCGTTTCAACCAGACGCCCTCGATTCTTTAAATCCGCTGTACGGGATTGTTGTTTTGCCTTGGTTTTTTGTGCTGTTTCTTTTTGTAAGTCTTTAGTGCTGTCTAGCGCAGGCGCACTCGAAGAAGTTGTGCCCCGTAGGGCCGTGAAACCAGATACATCATGATTATCTTGATCACATGGATTTACTCTGCTCATATGAATGCGAAGACTCTGCAGGCTCGAAAATGTCTTGTTGCACCTGGAGCACGTCTTCGATGCAGGCCGACCGCGTGACGACACTGATTTTTCTTGATCACAAGGCGTAACCCTACTGAGATGCCCTCGTAGCCCTTGGTTGCTGGCAAACGTCTTGCCACACTTATAGCAGGTCTTGGAACCCTCGGCGCGTACCATATGCTGTGTTTGGTCGTATGAGTTGACATTCCCCAAATGAGGTTGAAGGCTTGTTCCAGGTATTGTGCTTTTGCTATACTTTGGACAAGAAGCAGCAGTTGTATTCCCCCCCTTACTGAGACCCGACTCCAGAATAGCGTCGTTCGGTTGAGTGGGAGGGGGAGGGGGATGAGACCAGACGAGTGCGCTGGTTTGGGAATGACCATGCTGTTTCTCTATGCACGCATCCTTGGACTGTATAGACAGCGCGGACGACGGCTGTGCAAGCTTTTCACTTGGCAGCTCAATCTGCTGCGAGGTGCCGGGCTCACGCGGGGCTGGTGGCAATGCGTCCAGCGCGTACTTTCGGTCCACCAAGTCGTCTGGCTTCGAGACGATTGCCATGAACGTTGGCTCTTCTGGATGGCGTGGAGCAAATAATCTTGCTATGAGGGAGACTAGAATACAGTACTAAAATCAAGCGAATGGCGCAATCAATCCAACGCATTGTTGTTCCGCGCAACGACCAACCAGATCTTTTAGTCGCTAAATCAAGTATAAAAGTCGTATACTACGCAGCATGAACCGCGCGTCTCCTCCTAGTAGAAGCCCCCCCTTAGTACATCGCGAGCACGTGGCAATGCACGTACTATCGGTGGACGAATATTGCCAAGATGTTTGTGAGTCGAAAGGACGACCACCGAGAGGAATTCCCGTTCCTCTCTGGCCTGGGGAGAGTGTACAGCAGTACGAGCGTGAATTCATGCGGTGGCTTGTCTGTAGAAAGGTGCCGATCGATATCATACGTAACAATCCAATGACTGAACGAAAGTATCGACTGCAGTTTGCAGACACGCGTGTGAAGAGGTCCAGCAGTAAGTCAGCGAGAGTGGCTTCTCGCTCTCGATCGCGCTCACAGTCGCGGTCTCCCCCACGCAATAGCATTGCCAAGCCACATCAACGACCGTATTCGCCTTACATTGAAAAGAAACGGCGGTCAGAGAGAAGTTTTCTTTCCGAAAGTGAACGCTTGTTGGAAACCAGCCCGACAGCAGGCAGATCGAGTCACGGTCGAAGCCGTCCACGAGAGCAGCCTCAAGTGGCTTCAGTCACTGCTGTAGAAAAAGCCCCCCGACGGTCAAGTAACTGGAAAGCAGTGCGCGATGACGACCTTCGGCGTCGGTACGATGATCGTGTATCCTTTTCGCGTGATACTTACCGTCAACAGGTCGGTATCATTCGGCGCAGGAACCATTTGATATCAAGACCAGGCCGGTATTATTCTCAAAATGAGCGCAACGACGAGTCATTTCCACAAGCCTGTAGGTCGGTCTCGCCTCGCGAACAAACCACGACGAACGATGGCGATCATTGGAAACGGAAGCTTGCAAAGCGGGTGGTCTCAGTCAATGTATTTCGGGATGAGATAAGCAAGCTGCGTAACGGAATCATACTCGACAACGATTTACGACGGCCGGGTGAAACGATGGTACGCATACCCGTCATTTTCGGGCCAGGCGAAACAATGGACCAGTACACGCAACATTTTGAGCGGTGGCTTGTCTCGCGCGGCGCGCAACTGACGTCACTACGTGACGACCCAGCAAAAGAGCGCTTTTTGTGGCACTCCTTCGCATGTATGAGAGCCGGAATACCCGAGCCTATGGAAAATGGAAGCACTTCGCAATTCTCTTCGTGTCACAGCCCACGCTCGCTTTCTCGGTCACGTTCCTCGTCACGAAGCATCCCAAGTGACCCCGATAGGGGCCGTCAGTTCATGCCCTCTACTGGTACAAAGAAGAGAATGTTGACGAGAGGAAGTGCCTCTCGTAGCGAATTCAAGGAACAGGTACCTCAAAGAGAACAGGCCTTTTTACCCTCTGACCACGTGCGTGAACCGAATTCCGCGTGGATCCAAACTCTTCCACCGTTGGACTCTCCAACCGAGGATTCGCGGAGCTTCAACAATAGGGCTCGTTGGCAGCTTTTAGAAAGGCGGGTTATTTTGTTGGAAATCTTTCAGAAAGAGATGGACAAAAGACATGATGCGAAAGATAAAATCGACCATACCGAGGATAGCAAAGTGCCGGCCATTCCTGTCCCGCTACATCCTGGGGAATCGATGGGACTTTACGACCACCGCTTTTGGACCTGGTTGAGTAACTATGGAGAAACCAAGTATTCTCTGCGCTCCATGCCACTTATGGAACGGAAATTTCGCATAACGTTTGCTTACCTTAGACTTAACAAGCCTCAAATTCTGCCGGTGCCTAAAGATCATCCTATCAAAACTGAAAGGGCTCAAACTCCTGGACCGTGTGCTGAGGCCTCATCAAAGTCGTATATCGGCATGGAGAAGCCAGCTCGCGTCTGGTCGGCAATGAACGTGGATAAAGAGCTTGAAGATGTTGAGCAGCAGGCTCAAGCAGCGCGCGAAGAAACTTGCAGCAAACGCGCTCGAATCGATGTGGTATCTGAAAAGGTGACCCAAGCTCACGTATCGTTAGGTCTCCCTGGCAGTGACTCAACAATTCGTCCAGAACGATGTCGCAAATCGACACTTTTCTCGGTGCCGCCGGACCAAGAATCACCCCGGTCATGCTCAGTGCCGTCCTCAGTCACTTTATCAACAGGAGGTTCTTCTTTAACTGAAACTACAGTCAGAGTTCCTGGTTCAGCTGGGCCCGTGTGTATAGCCGTCTTGCCGCCGATGGCTGGAGGAAATCGGCCACGTGAGGTGGAGATACCAACTGGGCGTCCAGCCACAGTCCCTGATCCGAATAAAGTATCGTCAAAGTCTGACTCATTGACGACGGAAGTGGCAACGCCTCGGTCGCCCGCAGCTACCTCGAAGACAAACACAAGCTTTGCAACAAGTACGAGCGTCGCCGTCACCGGAACCTTGACAACGAACTCAAAAATCTGCCTACCAAAAATGGCAACTAACAGCGACAAATTGGATCGTTTGGATCAAAATGGTCCCACAGCCCCAACGGGTAAAGTATCAGAGGCGATAGCACCATCAAGAAGCGAGACGGAACCACAAAGATCTGTGGAAAGACCGTTCATTTCAAGTTGTGCGTCGTCTTCGGTGCTTCAGCCCGGACAGTCGCCAGATCTATCATCGTCAAAGCCAGAACCAGCGACGGTTGCTGCATCTCCGTCTCCTTCGGTCTGTCTAACAGCAACTGAATCACCATCGATGCTTCTTTCAGCAACGATCGCAGACCCAACTCGTGTGCACCTGGACGCAGACGTGTCTCCAGCAACGGCCACTGCCGTGAAGGCAAATGTAAACATCCGCGTCATCAAGGACGACCCTGCATTTACGAATCCATCCGCAACCAAGTCTAGCTCTGCTTCAACAACGTCCGCGACAGGGATGTCTGACGCTCATTACGGTCCTGCAGACGTCTCCAATCAGCACGATGGCGACGTAATGAACCTCGACGGCTGTTGTTGCACGAAATGCATGCGCAATTGGGCTAAGACGCTGACATATCGTATGAATCAACTTGAACAGAATGTTGCAGACCTGAAAAGGTAAGGGGTGACCGGTGAAGCGATCAAGCCGTTTTCGGCGTGAACTCTGGTGGGTGCATTTGAACCACTGATCACGACCTCTCGCCCTAATTCGTTTGTCGCTTCGTTTCGGATGCAGTCGCATGGTTCGGACCTGTGGCATCGTTAGACGACTTGTGTAGTGAAAGCAACACCAAACCAGACCATCGTCCATTTGCTGCTTTTTACAGCTTACGATCCGTGTCAAACAGCGGGTTGTCTATGCTGAGAAATTCGAGAGTAACCTATTTGCATGTGCTTTTTAATTTTCCTCCAATGAGGCTTTCGGTAAAGTGCACCTCGCCATCTACGCCTAATTTTAGATACCTTTGACGAGCCCAATTTGCCGGATGGACCATGTATGACTAATTTTGTCCTTAAGGTTTGAAGCAGCAGTCGTATTTTTACTTGCTCTATCCCTGTCATCACTTCCTTTTTTCAAGCCACGATCGTAGAAATTGGTATATCAATGGAAGTTAGCAACACATTTCACCAAATAATGCCAGCGCTTTATGTCTTATAGCACCCCCATTTGTCATCGAGTTCGAAGAGGGGGTTTCTAAATGTGGAGATATTAAACCGATGGCGGTAAAAATGCATCAGCATGATGGTCTCAAAGGCTAAAAAAAACGACGGGTCTGGTGGACGCGCGTGAAGTAAAGTGAACGTCAAACTTCTCAGCAGCTACTTTCCGTACGTTCATCAGTTTTACTGTATGTCACGCGCTCAATCGCACGCGAATGATAGCATTGAAAGCGATCGAGTGCGAGCAGCGCAAATGTGCAAACGACTCGCATCTCCGGCGCCACGACATCAGAACCGCCATTATGTTTAATGCAATGCCCTACTTTATTCCCAAACACATGGAGTGTATGGTCGAGATAGTTCCGATGATAGACTGGAAGATATACTCCTCGACGTCACCATCAACCGCAGATCAATAAAGAATAATCTAGAGTATGGACATCAGTGCAAACGTCACGGTTATGATTGACAGCTCAAGCGGCGACTGAATCTATAAGCCCTGTAACACATATAGCAACTCGACCTGGTCGGCTCTCGAATCTAACAAAGCTTAGCAGCACTTTTGGCGGCAAGTGATTCGTAAATAGGATGAGCTTGCGAGTGTAATCAAAACACTATACTGTACTGGCCATCGAGACGGAAGTGATTAGCTATATAGCAATCTCAAAGCACGCAGAAGTACTGAGACTTTTAGAACTGCGACTTTATTTCACCCAAAATCGAGGAGCAAGCTCTGGACCTCATATTTGACATTAGTAAGCAAGCCCCGAGAACTGAATCAAGTTTTGGTAACTACCGCGTGCTCGTATCGGATGATGGGTTGGCGGCGAGGAGACAAGTTGTGCCTCGTGAGGCGTAATGACCATATTGTTGCTGCTGTGTTGTGGTGTGATAAAGCAACTTGCTGACATTGCTGATGTGCTGATGAGAAGGGGTGAGAAAAGAGAGCTGATCTTGCCTGTGCATCAAGAAAAACCATGTGCAACCGACGACATGAGGTTGGTCAATGAGGAGGAGAAAGCTAGTAAATTACTTCTACGACCAAGCGAGAGGGCGACCATCAACTACTTACCTTGTCGTTTTGTTCAAGTACTACGGACAAGAAACGGGTTACCCGTGTCAATGTTGCTTTTACTGCTGCTGCGCTGTTTGTAAACAGGTGAGCAGTTAGTTCTCATGAGTGCTACATTGTGCCTGAGGTAGATCCACGGTGTCGCACATTTCCCGTGAGTTCTATACTTGACTACAATATACCCACTGTAATTTGAAAAGGTGTGCGAACCTCTGGTACCCTGTATCGTTCTGCACGTCTGTTTCTTCCATCCACAACGGCATGCACGAAAGTGGACATGTCAGAATATGAGGGACAGACTATCAGGTAAAGAAGACGGACCTACCGTTGCATCGTTTTGGCGAGCAGTAATAGCGGTCGAGCTCGAAGGAAACATGCGACTGACGCGAGAGGTCCGTGCCCGCGCCTACGAAAAGTGTCATTACTTCGTTGAAGATCGCCTCCAGGATTTAACGTTGTCTCAAGTGCTCATAACGTTATACTCCTCGGAGTATCTGCAACCTCTAGTGATTCGACAGACATCCGTCGTTTTCTTGATCTCTTGTTCACAATTGATGGAGTCAGTTTTTGTTGAGCTACTGTTGAAGGTGGTGGATTGCCATCTAGGTTTTCTGCGTGTCCAGCAGTACGTCAAAGCTATCACAGCAAAATGCATTGCGGGATTCAGATTCCCGCTAAGGGCAAGAATAGAGTCCGTAAAGGTACAGCAAGATGCAGACGGCATGCGCGTTTGGCTTCTTATCATTAGCGGCCCACACTTTGGACGAATTTAAGTGCCGTTTCCTACCTTACACTCACTTTCTGTTACTTTGTGAGCAGAGGTCCTCCAGATCTGCACTTTCCGCTCGCAGGTCCTCCAGGATCTCATTAATGCGCACCACGCAGTCCGTGTGGTTGCTTGTAAGGTTCTCCACGGAACGACGCAAAAATGCAACGCTGGAGTCGTCAGGTTCGGGTTGGCTGACCGCATCGCTGAGCCGCATCTTTTCAATCATTGCAGCAGACGTCTAGAGCCACGTCAACTCGATTCGGTTAGAAAGCCTCCAACAAGATATCGGAGTCCACAAGCCTTACCAGGAGTAGCTTGCTCTTTTCTTCCGATTGTAGTTCGCGAAGCAGCTGCGCAATCGTCACTTGATGCATCTGCTCACGCACGAGCTTCTCGATGCAATTGATCTGCTCACTCACAGTCGAAAAGCGATCTGTGATTGCAGAGCCTGCCGCATTCATACGATAGGGTCACGGACTATGAACGTTAAACAAAGAAAACTCGCTGACGTACAGAACGCGGGAAACTGCTGAGTTTTGTGGTGCACTTGAAATCCCCTAGATCGTATCACGTCACATATTATAAAGTTAGCTTTTGTCATCACTATGCCACTAACATCGTGATGGTTGAGGAACGCACTCTCGAAAGTCATTGTAAATCAGGACGCGCGTCTCCTGCAACTGGTAAACCGTTCGTATCAGCTGTCGAGGACTTAGAAGCGTCAGGTCCTGAGCCTGTTCTGAGTCGGACTTTGATTGAGACCCGACGTCATTCAGATTCAGCGACTCTTCTTTGTCGATTCCTTCCTCTTTGCAGTGCTCATGTGTGTGTGGGGGTCGCGCAGCCAGTAGCGAGAAGCATTCCTTAAACTCCATCGTGTCAACTCTTTTTGGATGGATCGAACTTTGACAGTACGATATCAAAGTGTACGTACAGCTACGAAATTTGTCCGACGGGAACATTCGTCTCGGGATTTCAATTTATTCTCGAAGGGAGGCTACGAAATGCAATATAACTAGCCGAAGATGTAGGTGGCATTTGGCCATCACGTCACGCGCCGCTCTAACCAAAGAGGACTTTCAACTATGGACCCTATCGTTACGGAGCTCGCACAAACGTAATGGGTCAATTCCTTGCTACAATACGAGACGAAACTGGGCAGATTGACAGCAACTTTTAGTAGGCCGATCATCCGATCACGCAATTGTCCAGTGACGATACATTGTGCCAATAACCTGTTGAAGTAGTTCAGGGGCATCTGCAGTGCTCCAGACGTCACCATCGACCGGTTACTTTGTAGGCTTTGCGCCCGACAACCTCTCACCATCATCGCTGAATCCATGAAACAAAGTACTTAGCCGGGGCATCTCTCGAACCTATGCATAGTACCTCCTGCCTGTCCAGCTTACACCGACGTCGCACCCTAGCTGCCAGTCATGGACCTGAATTCTCTTATTCGATGCACCATGACCACTCTTACTCATGCTACACCGTCCACGGTCTTGGCCTCAGCGCACACCGAAAGTTGGGCTTTCATGAAGTCGACCTCCTTGCAAAATGCGTGCCCACTGCTCACAAACTCAAGTGGCGCTGCTCCTTTAACAACGCCACTCAATTTTTGACCTTGTGATGGCGCCGGTGTCTTTCGTTTGTCAAAGCGGCAAGACACTAGTAAACGCACTCAACTCCCCGGGCTTTTGCTACAGTGCGCACAAAAGACCAACCGGTTTCGATGTCCAACGGGATCTTCTGCTGCAACTAACTGTGTTGGCCGACGCCGACGCACTTCGACTGCTGTAAGTGCCAGATTCTCGACCCTTCATCATCGTAAATGGGCTGCTGGTCCAGCAATAGCAATCGACTAGAACGTATCCTGTGAGTCCTAGCAGTGACAGCGAGAGCGGTAACAAGAGCTGCCGCTTGTATTCCAGTGCGTGATGATCGTCTGACAGACAGCTGGGATGGCCCAGGCTTACCAACATTGCACTGGTACAATGACTGGCTGCTAGCACCCTGGCGCGACTACCAAGCCACAATGGAAGGGTGCTCGGCTCGAGCGTACAACTGTGGCACTCTCTTGCCTGCCTCGTCCATATCCGCTCATTCGTCCACACCACCGCGTCCACGTTTCAATATTAAGCTTAATTTCGCTACGAATGGTCAATCGCTGGCCGCGATACGCAAAAGTGTACCCCCGGTCGTAGCGCTATGTATCCACGGAATAGGCGGTATCTACAGACCACCGCTGCTTTCATGCACTGATCCACCCAGGGCGCACGTAGCTTTACAACCACCAAATGGTGGAAGTCGCTCAGCTCAAACAGAGTGGCAGCACTGTTTACTCTTACGAGCTCTCACCTGCTGCAGGCATCTTTTAACGTCACAACACCCTTCCTGCTACGCGATTCGAAAGCCTAGACCTTGCCCACGTAGCGATGTGTAAGTTTATAGTTTGTGTCCAGAGTTTTCAGCAGCGACTTGCCAGTCGAGTCCAATGCCCCGAAAAGCTGCTCCTTCTCATACGGCGAACACACATCCAGCAGTGCAAACACACCAGGGCGTAACATTTGCTGATAGCGCACGGACAGCTTATCCCGTGACACACCCACAAGAAACGCCATCAAGAGATAGGTGACGTACTTGCGCAACTGAACATCGTGCTCTTTCATGTACCCGTACAAACGCGCCAGGTTTGAGCTCCACTCGGAGCAATGCTGCGAATACTCCGTGTGTGCAGAGGCCAGCACTAACATCTGAAGAAGTGCGTTCGACGCCTGAACAAGTTGTGGAATGCTGTCCACCAACGTCACAAAATGAGTTCGCACGATACGCAACAGTAGCGTGTACGAAAGCGTCCACAACTCATGCAGCTCTTGGGGCTGATATGTGCTAGCCCCCGCTTGCCAGCACGATACTGCCGCCAACAAAGGCTGAAAGCCCGTGAATACATGTTGCAGTTCGTACGTTTTCCAAGTATAAAGCCCAGCCCTCGAAAACACCAGCACGAAGGCCTTCAGATTCCACACGCGAAGGGCATTGGCGCTGTCGATAACATCTAAGGACAAGGTTCCGATAGTCAACGACTGGGCAGCAAAGTCCTGGAGCAAGGCCTCAACAATTGATTCTTTGTGCTCATTCAAACACAGCCGTCGTGACGCGTTAAACTTTCGTTCCCCGCCTAAAAGCAAGCATAGGGCGCGCAGTGCACTTAGCTTCCGTTGGTGTTCACGTGCAACAAGCTCTTGTACAAGAGTCGAAAGTAGCAGACGAAATTCGTCCCGATTTGCATTGGCTATTACCGCTTGTAACGCCGATACTTTTGCGTTCTCGTGTCTGAGCAGAAGGCTGGTGTTGCGCGAAACGAGCGAAAGAGACACAGCCAACAGACATCCGTACGTCTTCAAAGGCGTCACAAACGCGCGAAATGAAGCGTACTCCTCACAAAATCCGGTGAAAAAAGCCCAAGCTGCGTCCTGAAGCTCGGCATCGTCCACAGATTCGCCGATTAGCTTCATTGAAGCTGCTAAAGCACAACCAACGTGCTTCACGAGTAATTGCGATGCTAGACTTTCGACTGCCGCCGTCGGCATATTTCTGTCTTGTCGCGCCAGTTTGTGCAGTGCCGACTCGTACCGAAGAAGGGCAGTGAGCGTATCAAATGCCAACGCACTACTTGTCGTATCGCACACTTTCTCGTGAGTAACGACGCCGAGAACCCTTTTGACAAACTTCTGCTCGTCCTCTGAATTATTCGGCGAAGGTCGGCAAGCAGCCAGAGCTTGCACAACCATGACCGCGCGCTTCACTTTTTTCATCACCTTGTCTGCGTATTCCGCCTTAACATTCTCAGTGTCCAAAGCATTGTCAAGCAGCTCTTTGACAAAAGCGCTGGAACCCACCTCTAAATAAGTTCCGAGCACTTCGGCAACTAGCGATACACTGACAGCGTCGTCTACCGCAAGTTGAGAGATAAGAAATGACGCCCCGCTACGTAGCTGCTCGTCCAACTTTGGCTGAGTCTTCCGCAACCTATATACCTCAACACCTATAGCCTTGAAGTGCAGCTCAATCCAAGCCAGCAAAGTCCGACAGACCTCTGCTCTGCAAATAGCATAGCCCGGAGATGCAATGATCGCGCGGTACAGAGTAAGAGCAGTCACGAGCAGCTCTCCACAATAGTGAGGCTCCAAATAAGTCGACGGAATTTCCAACAAAAAGCTGAAAAAGTGGCGCGTTGAGTCCAAAGATACGACAGATTCGCGCTGGACTTCGTCTACAAAGCGCCTTCCAAACGTAGTCAGTGAGTCCGGCGCGACACTCCTGAGGCTTGAGATTTCATAGAATCCCGCGTCACGAATGATGAGCTCGGCTGCACCTTTTGTCCTCCCTGATACGGTATCGGTGATGTAAGTACCCAGTATTTCGCGAAAGAAGTGTACACATTCATCCCGACTCGCGTTGGCCATTAGTTCAGGCAGATGAAAACTCACTGCATCCCAACATTTCCAGTTGACAACATACTCGACAACCAAACGAGTTACCTTCTCCCGTCCCTCGCGAGAGACCTTGCCATCGTATTCTGCTACTCCACTCAATGCTCTTATATTCCGCAGCCAATATACACATAGTTTCACAATCCCAATAGCACCAAGACCGTGACTAGTGCTTAGAGCCATCGTTTCGCTATCGACAGCCCCCACTTTCCTGCCCTTCTTCTTTAATCCTTCTCTTCTTGACTGACAAGTGCCCAAGAGATGTTCCATAGCATTGCCGAATCGGTTGCCCTCCAGCTTGTCAAATATTTGGCCAAACGTTTGCTCGCGCATAGAGGCACTAAGTACGGAGTCATATATCAACAACTCTCCGAATATGCAAAACAAATCGCGCTGATAGGACGTGAATGGACCCTTCGTGTGTGCTAGTTCGCTTGCGAACGAAGACAGCAGTTGTTCGTACGTATGGAGTACGAGTCCTAACACTATAGAGCGATTCTGAGGTACCACGTGAATTTCCTGGACAAAGGTCTGGAAGACTAAGCGCACAACCGCAACTTGCCGAGCATTATGGACGTTGTCCCTACTTGTTGCAAACGACGCGATTCGCTCCACGAGTTGTTTCCATATAATGGCCGTTTGACCGGGCGGCAGAGCCACAAACGCTTTACGAAGAGCAGTCTCGCACAGAGGAAGCGCAAGGAGCTTGTATAAACCTTCATGACCTTGCTGAATCGCAAAAGCAGCTTGCAGGAATGCATCCAAACGACGCATAGAATCGTACGCATGAAGCAGCTCAAGTACGGCACAGCTAGCTGCCACAACAATCGCACCCTTACCGTCCTCAAACTTGTTAGCAGCGTAGCTTTGTTCAGCCCGCATTCCAAATAACGTAAAAATTAAAACGAGACAACAGTTCACAAGGTTGGGTGAACACTGCACTGCACTCGAGATAGTGTTGCACTCGCCCACAGCAAGATCACCATCGGAAAAAGTTCGAATGCCATTCTCTACGTTCAGCACCTCCAAAAATGAAGAAAGCACAGTCTCCATCGTCTTAAATTGCTCACGTTCTTCCGTGTCTTCTGTCACACGATAGACGTCGTATTCGCACAACGCTCGAAACAAAGCATCGTAAAGGCTCACGAATACCAGCAAAACATCGTTCTTTTGCACCTCCCGCTGAAAAGCCAAATACGCCACTGCACACAATTCCGACCAGAACTTGAAGGGCGAGTGCGTCGTCGACGTAGTAGCAATGACAATAGCCGCGCGCTTTCGACTTGTCTTCACATCTGTTTTCGTGTCTTCGATCTTAGTGCTGGCGGCTGCGCGGATACGAACAGTGAAAGCGCGCACAAGCATCTCAAAGAATTCACTGAGAGAGATCTTGACCTCTGATTGCACTTGCCCGTCAGACAGTAAGCTTAATAGTCCATCGAACAGATTCTTCTGGTAGGACACCAATCCCGACAATGGCTTTGCGCCTTCCGCTGCTTTTCGTCGCTTCTGCGACTTCTTGTCATCGAGCTCTTTCTGTGCAGCATCCTTACGTCCTTTCTGCCATACAGTGGCATGCACCATAGCGCCGTCAAACTGACAAATGTGTTCACTATCGAATAGCGCGTCGGCCACGATGTGGTCCAGCAGAGCCCTCACAGCGTCAACGCCGGCCACTCCTCGTTTCTGAAGCCTTACCAGAGAGTGCCGATAACTCACGAAATCTCTCAACGACGTCTTGGCAATGGCCAGGAAAACCTTCTTCTTGTTTGTCTGCGTCTTTTGAAGCTCCTGGAAGACGAACAGCGACGCATGCACCACATTCACGTAGACTTTCTCTTGCTCCGCACTCGGAGTCGCTTCATGATCAGCGTCTTGTAGCTGCGTGATCGACTTGAATGAAGCAGTTAGTGCTCGCCTTAAAAATTCGGCAAACACGTTGGTAGGAGGGCGATACATCTGAAACGTGGCTGACGTAGCCTTCGAGAGATCACCAGGCAGCGTAAAGAGGTAGAAAAGAACGGCCTTGACTGTCTGCAGTATCTCGTACTTCTGAAGCCCCTTCTCGAGCGTCTCAGCCAGCGCAGACAGCAGCAGATTGCACGAATTTAGTGACAACGTCGCGAGCTCCGCATCGCCGTTGACAACGAGTGCGTTAAGCGCCAGTTGCAGCAGTCGCAGCGCCAAACGCGTCTTCTCCATGTGCCGGATGTCGTCGTCGTCTCGCTTGGCTTTCGTGATAAGAAACACAGCAAACTGCAGCGCCTCGGACACAATGCGCTGTCTCGGTAGATTGAAAGCGCACTCGACACGGCTTAGCGGACTCTGTAGACCGAGCTGGAGGTCGGCATCGGGCTGCAGAAGCGAGAGGCCGGTTTCGAGCAATGCAGTGTCGCTGCCGTAGTCGCGGCGGGTGTGTTGCCAGCGTACGAGCGCGAGAGCGGCGTCCCAAGCAATGTCACGCGTCATGAGGCGCTGTGGACCAGTGGACCGAAACCTAAAACAAAAACAATCGCAGGCAGATGCAGAGCCTTCGAGACCCCAAAATAAAGAAATCACCTCAACGGTTGATATGGTGTGACTTGGCAACGTGCACAAATGTCCCTGCGATACCCTCTTTTCGATCAATACTAAATTCGCGTGGACTTGTGCTTGTCATTTTTCGGAAGCAGTCCAACGTGCAGTCCTACCGCAGCTCCACGTTGTAACTATCAGTGCAGACTTGTCCCCCATGCACCCGCACCGTTCTGAGCACATCTTGACGCGATCGATTGGGGTCGTATGAGACGCATATCATCAGGGCAGTGAATCAAGTAGCGCCACAAAGAAAGCTTCAGTCATGCCAAGACAGTCTGTCTTAACGCCACGCTCGAGGCAGCTTTCCGTCACAGCAGGTGAGAGCCGACCGGAGCGTACGCAGCACACCTTAAACCGATAAACTTACATACATGTAAGATGTTCATAAAACACACGACCAACGGTCGCACATACACACTTACTCCCATTGTGACGGACTCAAGTGTTTGTGATTGCTCGATCCTGCTTTCAGCATTCTGCGCACGTGGGCGGCCAAACGGGAGGCGGCAGCAATTCACCTGATATTGTCAACCCGAGACGGGCACATCGCGGCACGGCCGAGGCCCATACACGAGCCATTGATGTGTAGTGGCGCGACACACTTGTAGACAGACAGCCCTCGACTAGAAAGTCGTGATGACTGCAGAATCGGGTCTATGTCCGAGGGCTGTACAGACACGCCGCACGAAGTGTGAGCGAACGTCTGAAGCAGCCACACCGTAGTGAGCAGCATCGTGCTGCACGTGTCACTTTCACGCACGGGGTGTGGGTGGACAATGTCCTATCGTCTCGCCGCCCAGTAGGTGGTTTGCCCGCATACTATACCGTGAGTCAGACCCAAGTAGGGGGCTGTGAGATCAACGTCGGGGCTGTGATCGTGCAGATAAAGTCAAAAGCGTTGATCTCACCACCAAAAGTTGCGGGTCGAGCCAAGAAGTCACGTGGGTAGTGCCTGTCGAGTCGAGAAAGTCACATGGATAGTGCGTGTCGAGATGCGACGCTGGACCGACTCAAGAAACGTCAGTCAAGAAGCCTTCGTACGAGCTCCAACGGTTGCACGAAATCGCTCGGTCTCGACAACTGTCTGCCAGCATAGACCCGCCAGAACGAGCAGTCGTATGCTGTGGACACGGACAGCCCCGAGCCGATCTGCCTCGCAAGGTGCCAAGCAGTCTTTTCTTTCTCTACCCGATGCGACGATCGCGCACGAAATTGACGATGGCGCAACGCTCGGCCTGAAGCTACGATCGTTCTGTCGACTCGCGCGACACACGACCCGAGCACTGGACGGTCCCAAAGGGGGGGGGGTCTGGAAGTTGCACCTACCGCAGTCTCCTCACGAAGCAGTACAGTAACTTGATTGTCAACGCTGCTTTACGAAGCAGGTGTCCCAGGGTTTTCCAGCCTTAGTCGAATTCTTCGATAGCGTCTGACTGACAGTTGTAATGAATTGCGAGAGACGCTAGTCTGCTACCCTATACAGTCAGTGATGCATCATTCGCTTTGAGATTGCAAAGAAAAGCTGCAGCGATGCATACGCGGCTTTTCGAAGTGCACGAGTGTTCCTTGCATTACCGTCCCTCTTCATCTTTTTCTGTACTCACTCTGGACGAAAAACGGTTGACGCTGACGCCACGATAAAGTTTTGACCTCCTACGTATCTCATGGTCTCGATACTGAGGCACATTATGACACGTAAAATGACTGGATCTGACGTATCCTGCAGCAGTGGTCCATAAACTTGCGTGTTTCAGATTGATTCGGTAGTGAACATTTCTTTGTTTCTGTCGTCATGTCGATGCGTGAAAAACAGTGCAACGAAACTGTAGATGCCTATGACTACAAAAGAAGAGCGGGAGGTGTCCGAAACCAGCAATCGAGAAGCTAAACTGGCTGACTGAAATGATCAAGATCTTAGCAAGACAACATTTGATAATCAGCAGCGCTGCTTTGCACCTGAAAAGACCGCAAAGCTTTCCATCGCTGCCGCATCGAAGCAAAACTGCAAGTACTGCTGCTGCAGAAGTGCGGGTGTTCCGAACACAGACCAAGTACAACTGAATCGCGAAAATGAATCGGTCTCTATTCTGCAGTAGACCCGGCAGCGTGGTTTACTAGCACAGGTCCACCCATGCCAAACCTCGTTTCGCTGCACTCGTATCGTTATCTCCTAAAATGTGCCGAGTACCACATTCTTGTACGACTTTCCCAGATAACTCGTAACGACGATCGTTTTCTGCGGACGCCCAATAGAGTCGTTGGTAACCTTAGTGTCGCCATTCGGTCCCGTGGCGCTCTCGAACGCCAGAGCTGCATGAGCGTTGCTCGAAAAAGTCACATTGCAAGAGCCACGGTTTTGGTTTGGCAACCACGTAATTTTTTCCACTGCTGAAGGAACGATCATCGCGTTTTCGCAAAAGAACTTTTCAATGTCTTTGCTTGACAAGCCCTTTGGAATGCGGTGCACGCGCAATCGACAAGATCGTGCAATCATTGCTTCAGACATCCTGTTCGTACTGCGTGGCTGCACGGATGCTTCTTCCGTGATAGCGGCCATATCAATGTAGGACGCTCCGTTCACAGGAGCTTTTGCTGTGCGCTCTACCGGCTCGCAATTTGGCTGGCTCGCGTGGAAAGCCGTCTCAACCAGCATAACAGGGCCTGAGTACTCCGTCTTCATCGATATCGCCTTTGGTCGGTCTCGGGCACGATGTCCGTGTAGCTCTAACACGGACGGAATGATCCGGCCACATTCGTGCCGGACAGCATACTTGGCTGCCATCATTGAAGCTTGAGCATCAACGGTACTGTCATGTCCTTGCGGCATGTCAAAGCCCAACAAGAACTTGGTGAGGTCTTTCAGTCCAGGCGTCGCTTGCGAAGGGTTTCCGGTCTTCCGTTGGAAAATCATCGATGTGTCAATAACACGTCGATGATTGATCCGCAGACTCACCAAATCGTTGTGCACAGAATGTCCCACCACAATTGTATCCTGGTTGATGTACTTAAGCATTTTCTTCTGCGCTTGTTCAACAGTAATGGTACAGCTCGCAATCTGCCTGGCCGTGATTCCGTGAATGTCCGTTTTGGGGTCCACCATGTGGAATCCGTTCTCTGGCTGGTGCACGATAAAGTCCGATACAATACCACGTAGAATGTCCTCTCCGTCTACTGCCGACACTCGGCACAAAGCATTGGATGTGCGTACGCGGGCCCCTTTCTTCAGTGTCACGCACATCTCGCAATCCAGAGCCACGACCTTCAAGTGCGTCTTCTTCTTCTTCTTTTTGGGTTTCACCCAATTACTCGCATCCTCTGGGAACGTGAAGAACTTGTCAAAGCATTCGTGCTGCTGCGTGAGCTGCACAAGGTGCTCCCACTCGGCGTCCGACACGTCGTGGCCCACGTCTCCGTCCGGCGCCAGCAGACGATTCATCACGTCCATCGCCGTTATCGTCGCCTCCATCACCCGCTGCTTCTTGCTCGTGGCGTCCTCCTTGGCCAGCTCCATCTTGCGCTTGAGCACGCCACGCGTGACACCCGACAGAGGACCCATTGTGTCTGCTTTTTACGAGTGCAAACTAACTTGGCGCAGGCTTGGCCAGTCAAGTCAATCAGCTGTGTTTGGATGGTCGATGATTGGACAAAAGACGACCCGCCGAGCTGAACCAAGACCTTTTATTCAGGGAAAATGCACCAGATAATCACGAAAACAAAAATTTGCCCCGCAAGATGAAGAAAATAACGGTGCAACAGCATGCGAAAATGATGCGAAAAAACTCCGATGTATACTGTTCAGCCCAATTTACCCATGCCTGTCATATAGCATGTGCATCGCATACATGTGCTTCATTCCTTCTCTTATTTCATAATAAGAAACCTACGCACCTAGTCAGCAGTCGTATTACTCGAAGGTAACGCTGCAAGCGTAGCCTGATAGCATTGCTTGTCGTTCAATAATGTTGTCACATTGCTTCTATGTCTTTCTTTCAGATCTTGCGGAAGACGTTCGATTGATATGTAGCTGTCGTCTCGGCAGAATCGTCGTACTTGTATGAAATGAGACCGGAGTGGTCAAAGTGCACGCACTAAATGCACTGTATGACGTTCAAGCTAGGACCCGAGGCAGCACAGGATGAAGTAAATTTGTCAGACTGACTACGTGTCCGCTTCCCCATCTTTGCCCACGACGGAATCTTCTGCATCAGGCAGTCGACTTTTCGGCTGCCGGTGTGTGACAAGGTGATCCCGTTGCATAAAAATTGATAGAAAGTATCAATTTTTGAGCATTATCTATTTTTAATAATTAATCAACATCACTCGAGAAAAGTGATGTTGTCGGAATATTATCTCTAAGGGTAATATCCGTGGAGGGGTTCACTTCTTGGTTGATGTACACGGTACATCTACCAAATTAACCACCAATCGCTGCTGGACGCGCGCAATGGGTGGTGGACAGAAGACCCACGTAGGAGACAGTTGTTTAATATAGTTAGATCAGGACGAAAGATGATTTAGCAAGAAACATAACAATGATATATTAAATAACAGTTCTACTTTTACCTCAAGACAAAGCTTTCGGGTTCTATATTGTCTTGGTCGCGCTTCCTCACGCCACGTGTACGTGACGTCGGGCGTATGCACCCTTGTATTGTTATCAATACAAGGCCTTGCTCATTTATCTGAGCAAGAGCGTGCCCCGTTACACCTGGAAGCACTTTGTAGTCCTTCCAACGACCACCCATCTTATCCATCATAAACATGATGGATGAGGGAGAGAGCTTTTACGTCACACGTGAAGGCTTCGCCCATTTGGGTGACCTCGAATGGGCCGCGGTAGGGCGACATTGGCGTTACCGCTATGTTAGAATCTCTTATCAGAGGCCAACAACATGCCGCTATCCACAGGTTCATTTAAGATGAAGTTGTCATCGAAAGAGAAACGGTAGCCTTGCTTCACCAGCAAGGCTCTCAACAGGCTGAGAAGTTGAGAGAATTCGGTGCTCAACAGAGAGAGAGCTGTTGAGACAGCAGCAATTTAATGCTGCTGTGGGCGGGACGACACACACGCGTCGTCCCGAAATCTTGAAGGTTGATGTCTCCAAGTACAGAGGAGTCGAGGAAGTCTCCCAGTTGTTATGGTTCGTCGAACTAGACAGAGCCATAAAGGCACGTCGCATCAACGATGAGCAAATGATACTCACGTTTGCTCAAGCCCACTTGGCAGGACGTGCCAAGACTTGGGACTTAGGGCTGTAGATGAGCGACCCATATGCTTTCGATTCACTCTAATTCGTCAAAACCCGGCTCAAACGTTCGTCAATAATCACCTGTTCCGCCTAGAGTTGAATATTCTAGAATATTCTTTTGCAGCTGCGGAGCAGGATGACTTTAGCATTAGACAGGCTCATGCTATCCCAAGCTCTTATCGTCCACCGAGACGACAAGAGACTGGAGGTCCAGAACCAATGGACCTATGTTATATTGAGAGCGAGAGACCTCGATCTTTGGGCAACAAGCGATTGCAGAAGTGCAATCGCTGCCAGAAGCTAGGACACTACTCTTACGAGTGTAGTGCCCCTCACCCAGTACCTAGCAGTACTGAGCAAAATGGTCGTTCATTTGCCAAAAGGGGCAATGGGCGTGGGTCCAGCGCTGTTGCGAAACCGCAACAGCGAAGCGGATCATCAAAAAATGGTCGGGGTCAGTAGGGGCGGATCGCCCTACTGATCCAGCAACCTCAGGAGAATTTGCAAATCTCTTGACGAAAGTTGCTCCAGATACACAATCATTGTGTGTCTCTGTACCTGGTGATGACGTTTCGCTCATCACCTTGAAGTTGGAAGCGACAAATGATTTGTCGCTTCGTGCCCTAGTAGACTGTGAGGCGTCGAACAACTTTGTTCGTCGCAAGTAACTAGAGGGTCGCAGGCTCAAGTTCGTTGAGCGCGACATTCCCCTCACGAGGATGACGGTGCGACTTGCAACGGGCGCATCGATTAACGTTGAGAAACGTGTAGTAGGAATCCACTACACGTTGGAGGGCGAACAGTACGATGATGACTTCATCGTACTAGATCTGGATGACAAATTTGATGTCATCCCGGGATTACCTTGGCTCAGAAGGTACGAGCCAAGAGTGAGCTGGCAGCATCGATCCGTGAAGATGCCTGCCGCTTGTTCATCAGATGGCCATCTGATGAACATCTTGGAGCGTCCACAAGCGTGTGGATGTTCTGCGAGTGAGTGCGATGGCCTCACTTGCGGTACGGTCGTTAGCACGACTGCACAAGACCTCAGTGTAGCTGATCGCTACACTGTGGAGCAAGCTCCCGGCTGCTGTACCAAATTGCAGGCGGCGCCGAAGGTCCACCAATCGAATAAGTCGAGTGGACCGGGACATGGATGCATGCCTAGCGGGCATCATCTTAGACAAAAGAAACCTGTTGCCTTCAAAGGGCAACATGGACATCCTAGGTCGACTGGAGAGTCGACTGTAGAGGCTCGGTGCCTGACTGTGGTTGCATAGCCACAGTCAGAAGACGTCGAGGGAATAAGTCACCACGTACTTGAGGAAGGAATTCCTCAAGAGTCACTTGCTGAGAGATTAGTCCCTCAGCAACCTGTGGGAAGGAGTTCCTAGGAAGAAATCGAGAGAAGTTGAACATCTTAATAAATGACATATAAATCGTAGGCGCCTATTCGCTTGATCTGATTGTGCCTCTAAGCTGATTTCGGAAATAACTTAATTGCGAGTGGTAGAACCGAAACGTTTCTCGATTGATCTGCGTAGTGGCAAGATCAAGCAGATCTGCATACGCATCACAGATGATATGTATGTGGCCGATATTCGGTCGGAAACAGTATTTGATGAGATATACCAGATTTTCAGTAGCTCATCGATTAAAGAAAGTGTTCTCGATGAGAAGACTCGGATTTAGCGATACACGTCTCAAACCTGGGAGTCGCTTCAGGCAAATCCTTTGTACAAGGATTTAATCGAATTCAAGGATGTGTTCCCTGAATCCGTGCCATGCGAGTTGCTTAAGGACAAAGACACTCGACACGAGATCGATCCCAAACCGGGCTAGAAGTATTGTGTCATGAATCAGTGGCCACTGCCTCGTGAACAAGTACTAGCGATCGACAAGTTCTTTGCCGATCGCTTTGCAGTGGGCCATGTGAGGGGATCAACATTCCCTCACAAATCTCCGACCTTCTGTGTGCGAAAGGCCACAGGGGGATGGAGGAAAGTGCGCGCATTCAACAATTTGAATGCTGCAACAGTACCGGCTCAGACGCCGATACCGAGAAAGGACGTCATCATAGATGGTATGTCTAGGAGTACCATCTTCTCGTTCATGGATCTGATGGAAAAATTCTATCAGATCCTCATGTGTAAGCGGGAAATCCCGTACACAGCAGTGAGAACTTCTAGAGGTATGCTGTGGGAGTAGCTAGTGATGCTACAGGGGCTGATTAATGCCCCTGCAACGTTCAACAGATGTGTTACAAATCTGTTGAGGCCGGTGCGAGATTTCGCATCGAGTTACTTCAACGATGTGTTCGTCCATAGCCGGATAATGAATTGAAAGACGGACGTTGAAGTTCATATAACTCACGTTCGTCAAGTCCTTCAACTTATGCGCAAGCATAAGTTGTACGCTAATCTCAAGAAGTGTATTTTCGCGGTTAGCGAAATACCACTTCTTGGGTGCATCGTGGGTAAACATGGCGTGCGCCCTGATACCGAAAAGATCCAGGCGATCACCGACTGGCCTGTGCCATCGATATCAAGGGACTAAGGAATTTCCTTGGTCTAGCGGCGTACTTGCACAAGTACTCGCGCAACTACGCCAAGATGACTGTGCATCTTTCCTGTTTGCTCAAGATAAATTTGAAGTGGTCATGGAACGCTGACTGTCAGGTTTCCTTTAAAGGTATCAATCAAAGCTTGGTAAAGTCACCCATAATGGAGATTGCAGATCAGGACAGACCATTTCATGTGGTCTGAGACGCCAGCGATTTTGCAATCGGCTGTGCGTTGATGCAATCTGACACAGATGGCGCAAAATGCGTCATCTGCTATAAATCGCGTCAGCTGCAAGCATCTGAACGTAATTACCCATTGGATGACAAGGAACTTCTTGACATGAAGTACTCACTGGCTAAGTTTTGTGCCTATATCTTGGGAGATAGACTGTTCATCGTATATACGGACCATGCGTCTCTACGCACGGCCTTAAACAGTCCACACCTCTCGAAAAAAAATGGCGAGGTGGCTGCCTTTATTCGCGAATTACAACGTCTCCGTCGAGTATAAACTAGGACGACTGAATGTCGTCGCTGACGCCCTATCGCGCCGACCCGATTTCGAGTCGGGCGCGCAATCCAACAGTGAAGATAAGTTCACTGTTGCAACAATTACAGTCAGTGTGGTGTCGTCAACTTTACTCGACGACGTAAGAAAGGCCTACGCAGAAGATAAGGATCTTCTGCGCTTGATGGATCATCTGGTGAATCTAACTCGTAAATCTTTGTAAGGTTTACCGGCTT